TACATACTCTTTCGCCGGTCTGGAAAATGTGTTTAATTAGCTCTCATTCAAGCGACAATGTATATTTCCCAGTAAGAGCGAACCTAGTTCGAATCTGCCATTAAAAAATAGGGGTCTTTTCAGCAAAAAACGAATAACCCTTGAGTGCACACAATACACTGAATTTCGGAACAAATCTTGCATTAGTTACAGCAGCAGAATACCACAGAAATATCAGCCGAAACATAAAAACACTATATATTGTATTTTGGCCTGAACCCTCTCTATTGCAATTCCAGGAATTACCCCCATATGTGCAACCATTTTCCACCTTGGTATCACCCAACCCTGAAAACAAATTCTTAATACCACACTGAAGCGTTTGGTAATAAGATAATATTGTCCGACCTAAGATAGCTGTCTCCTCGTACATTGGAACTTAAACTTATTTTGAAACAACAGACTGTAGACGTTAGAGAAATGATGAAGCTGAAGCAGTGTTCAATCTCATGCACAAAACAAACATGCATATGCACATTATTAAAATATTTCACAATATCCCCATGTCTGAGAATTAAGAGAAGTTGAAGAGAATCAACTCTACAGACACTTGAGACTGGACCACACAATATGTCTACAGCTGATATGATCATATCAGAGTGGGATATTAGTAAGGAATGACAAATCTTACCTCCCAATATAATTTCTTAGGTTTGCCCTCTGCGTATGCCTTAGCAAAATGACTTTGACTACTAAGTGTTGTAAGTGTTGCACTTAACTGTGCCATTGGATGCACAGTAGGCGGAAAGTTATTCAGCATAGTAACAACATGTGAGGGCAAATCAGCTCTCTTTGCCCATTCTCTAGAGATAGCTTTGACCTGCAAAAATAATAATTGAATGCATGTTTAGAACATCATATCAACTTGTTCAACTTGAGATGGTCAGTTTACTTCTAGTCATTCAAATGGTGCTTGACAATTTATTGCTGATGAACACGCAATTGGTGAACAAAGGACTTAATATTTACCTGATCATCAGTAGGCACTTCACCGGTCACTAACAGCCAGAACAAACCTTCCGGTAACGGTTCTTCACCACGAGGTATTTTTGGCAATACCAGTTGACAATTTGCGATGCTGTGTCCACGGAAACGAATACCTTCATCTGGATCCAGCACTGAAGTTTCGCAGATAAGGCCTTTAATACCACGCATACCGCCATACATCTGAAAATCAAGATGATTGCATTGCATGATTGTTACTACCCACAATCCTTTCAAACGCAAAAACGATAACTTTTTAATTCAATATTGTAAACTAGTGTTTACCTTTCTTGAACAACATTATTGTTATTTTGTATGATGGGCTGAAGCACTGGAAATACTGATTCCGAATTTAATCAAGTGATATCAGTGTATTCTCAACAGTGCTTAGATCATTCTATATAAATTCATCGAGGGTTGAACTAGAGTGAACCAGATACATATTTCCTTGGCTACATGCATATCTTAATTACTCGATTATTTTATTTCCAGTTATTTCACAAGTGCTACTATGTGCTTCCTTAAAAAGTATAGGCCTGAACTGGACTTCTAAGATCTTGTACAACAAGTTTCACATCAGAGTTCTATCTCTGCAATTTAATCTGTAAAATATATTATTGGCTAAGTAAATTTTACATGGTATACCATTAATGAAATTGTATACATTCTGTCTGGTGAAGAAACTTGATTAAAGCGAGGGGGGGTCGTCACCTGCGCATGTGTCATATGGCATACGTGTCAATGTTTACAAACAGGCGTCTGCGCATGAACCTTTGCGTTTTTAGCGTGTGTTGTTATCATCGTTGAACTCAATTCCCG